TGCATCTCCAAGGAATCAGTCAGTGTGAAAAGGGGTCACCTCACCATAAGGATGGAAGGAAGGAATGCTCACTCAACACTGAAACAGAGGGCTGGGAAGGCACTGGCCCCAGAGCTCAGGAGCCACAGGTGACAGGCTCGCTTGCACAGACACCCACCTGGGGCCCCATGGAAACTCCTGGAATATGGGCTCAGTCCTAGGGAAAAATCTCTCTTAGACCAGTAGTTCTCAATGGGAGGAGAGGGGACTTTCCCCAGGTGCATTGTCACAACTGGGTGGTGGGTGCTACTCACGACTGGGCATCTCATGGGCGGGGCCCAAAGATGCTGCCAAATACCTACAATGCATAGGACATCTCCACACCCCACAGCAAGGAATTGTCTAGTCCAAAATGTCAGTAGTGCCAGGGTTGAGAAACTCTTTCTAAACAAAGTTCCATTCCTCGCAAACCTCTGACCTACTGCAGAGGGCCTGGAAGGCCTGTGCCCCAGGCACGCCTGGCCTGGTCCAGTCTGCTAGGAGTGACCGGGACTTTCCACCTCAAGCTCCTGGAAGTGGAAACTATGCCGCCCACCCTTCCTGCCCAGGAACTTTCTCCGCTGACCTGCGCAGACCCTGGGCTTCAGCGCCGCTATTCTCTCTGCCCACACTGCCCGCCCTGGGCAGGCCCTCCCTTGGCACAGTACAGGCTGCTGGCCCAGAACCCTGGGAACATTCTTGACCTTTGCTTTGGCTTCCTCCAGCTCTTGGCAGCTTCTTGCTGGCCCTTGATGCCCATGCCCCCGGCCCAACTTGCTGAAGCGCCCATTTTTCCCTCTGCCCCTCCATCTCAGGCTGGCTTTATCTTTGTGCCCTCCCTTGGGGAGTCCTGTTGGGTGCCCTCATCTCCCAGTGGCCAACCCAGAGTGAATGTGGGGCTCCCCTGGCCTGGTTTGGAGCTGCTTTTGGTCTTCTGTTGCCCCAACCTGCTTCCCCACCCAGATGGGAGGGTATGTGGACTCCTTTGGAGCTTTAAATGGAAGCTGGGTGGCCTGTGCTTTCCTCTCCTCCTCCTCCCCGAACCCACAGTGACCTTGAGCAAGGCACTTCCCCCGTCATTGAAATGCGAAGAAGCTGTGCCTCTGCGGCAAACAGAGCAGAGCGAGTGTTGGGGGGAAGGGGAAGGGAGCCTGTAGGTGGGGGAGGGCGCATCCATTATGCAGATTGTGTGGAGTGCCTTCCCTTCCCCAGCCAGGAAACGCCCTCCCAGAGGCCCTCAAGTCTTCCTTGGCAAGGAGGGCGTGTTCTCAGCAGCCTTGCTTTCTGATGCCCTGAAGCCAGCCATTAACCTGACCATTCCAGGGGAAAAACTCACAGGGTTTTGTCCTTGAGTCAGAAAACGGCCTTGGCAGAGAAGCCCGAGGCTCTCTCAGGGGCCAGCCCAGAGCCGAGAACCCCTGAGGGTGGTTCTGGAATCTTCAGCTCTGGCCAGTGGGGGCTCTTCCCTGTTGATGTCAAGAGCTCTGTGCCCGGCAGGGGTCAGGCACGGGGGGAGGGGGGGTGAGGATGGGGGAGGAACAAGTGCAAAAGGTGCATCGTGGCTTGTGTTCCGCCCTGCTCCTGTGTGACCTCTAGCCATATGCTGGACTGCTCTGGGCCACAAGCTCCCAGCTGGGAAAATCCCAAGGCTCCTGGTGTGAGGGTCAGGAGAAGCCTGAGGCTGGTGACTGGGGCCAACCAGCCTGCTGGCAGCAGCGTCCCCTACACGGCCACCCTCTTGGGGGGACAGGACAGAGAATGCCTGGGTGGGCCCCGGCTCTCACTGTCACTTAAGAGCTCTGTGGCCCTAGGGGGCATCCCCACCCCTCTGAGCTGTCACAGCAATGTGATAGATAGGACACCTTGCCTGGGGCTCAGCACAGTCCCTACCGCAGACTGAGTTCCACTGGGACAGCAAATCCTGGGTGTGAGGTGCTCACATTCTAGACATCCCCGAGTCAGGGCACAGAAAGAGCCTCGTCCTCCCAGAGTCCTAATGCTCAGGCTGCTGACTCCCTGGGCTGGGCCCCTCGGGGTCCCTGGCGACCTAAGAAGCAGTTAACCCCTTCACTTCTCCACCGCAGGGAAGTCTGAGGACATAGTGGTTCTATTCAAGCTTTTCCTTGCAAAGGGTCTTATTGGGGCCTGCATCCAGGGCCCGGCCTAGCCCTGGGGCTCTGGAAACGTGAGCGGCAAAGGCAGGGCAGAATGCCTGACTCTGGCAGCCCAGCCTCCTTGTGATGGTGTCGGTGTCACCACCCCTGCTAGTGGAACCCAATCTGCCTCCCCTTCCCCTGCTGCAGGGACGGGGACTGGAGCACGCTTCCGCCTCCCTGGTCACAGGAGCACGGGAAGCAATCAGCCCAGGAAGCCGTGGCGTTTCCTTCCTTTCTCACCAGCCCATCCGGGCTTGTTGAGAGAACATGGGCTTGTCCTGTGGAGACTGCAGCTTCTGGATGTGGGAAGGAGAGCCTTGCAGGCAGGGGGCTTCCAGGCTTGGGACACCTGGGCATTCCTGGTCCAGGTACATGCACCCTCCCACTCTGAAAACCCCCAGAGAAGGACTGCAGGGCCCCTGCAGGGCTGCCCGACAACAGTTCCCAGACCCTCACTCCTTGGGGCTAAGGGAGCAATGTCTCCCACAACCAAGACCCCGGGGAGGAAGAGGAGCAGCTCCCTCCTCCCTCCTGTCCACCGGGTCCCCTCATCCTCCCTTTCATCAAAAGGAGGAAGGTGGCCTGAGACTCAGGCATGGAGCTTCCTTGGTGCTGAAATCAGAGCGGAGTGTCTGGATCCACCCTGCCCCTGCCCCGCACCCCCTTCCCGCCCCACCACTGAGAATCACCTGCGCTTCCCAGCCCTGAGCAGAGTTGGTGGCAGGCGGGAATGAGGTTTTTCCATGGCCAGCTGCTCAGCCACTGCTCCCCACACCACTGCCACCAGCCCCTCACTAAGGGGCCTTTTGCCCCTCCCTGGTCAAATCCGTTTTCAGGAAAGGACCCAACAAACCTGCAACTCAGAAGCCAAATGAGACCTCTCCCAGGCAGGTCCGCTCTTCGATGGCGGCTCTCATACACCTCATAGAAGTGTAAGTTGGCTCCCCTCACTCCCTACATCCATGTAGATGCCCTTAGCCAAACAGGTCTGGTGTGCGGGGGCAGGAGGGTGGGGGTAGGAGCATCTGGGAGTTGGGGCTGGCTTCGAGTGCTGCGAAGAGTTGACTATGAGCTCTGGAGTCAGACTCAGATCTTGCTCCTTAGCTGTGTGACCTTGGGCAAGCCCCTCAGCCTCTCTGAGCCTCGGGCTCCTCCTCTGTAAGTGGGGCTATTGGAGGGATGAACTGAGATACACATGGCAAGGTGCCTGGCCCCGAGACTAGCCCCGTAAACAGCACCTGCTGCTCTGACTGGGGGGCAGTTGGAGATGAGGGGGGACTTACAGGCCCAATACCTCATCAGCAGGAGGGGCCCTGGCCCTGTACAAATAGAATGTTGGAAAGCTGTGTTCTGGGTCCAGTTGCAAGACCATCCTGCCCACTTTTGGGGTCACTCAGGCAGAGCTCCCTGGATTATGCTGTGGAGAGCAGGGTGCCCTCTCTGCTCACTGCTGGGCACTCAGAGTCAGGTCCCCAGGGAACTCAGATCAAAATCTGAGGGCAGCCTTGCTGGGTGTCAGCTTTCAGAATTGATTTCTTTCGAAGAACAGGAGGCATGGCCAGGCCAGCTGGCAATGGCTTCAGCCACAGTCCCCCAGTGCCCCATGCTGGGTGATTGATGGTAGGGGCTGTGCCTCCCCACCAGCCCCCCGAGCCCCATTCCCTGCCATGGCTCCGACAGGGAACTCCCTGTCATTCTTAGGTGGATCCTGAAACACCAAGTCCAGGCTAGACTTGTTCAGCCTCACAGCTGGCCCAGCAGATAGCTTCGATTAGCCCATTTCACAGATGGGACGTGAGGTCTAGAGAGGCTCTGCTCTAGCTGAGCTGGGACTCAGATCCTACTCCATGGCCTCTGCCAAGGTCCAGGCCCTCTTACCGTCCAACGGGGTCCTCGCCGGTGTCCTCAGCCTCTGCCCTCCAGACCCCAGGTAGCCTGGAGCTCTGCAGATCAGACAGCCTAGTACTGGGAGCCTGGGCCCATACCCCCAGCAGCCCCCAGCCCAGGGGGCCCCCAAGGCTGAACAGCAAGCTCAGGATCATCTTGGCGGCGGGGCAGGCTCAGCTCACACTCAGCCTTGGCAAGTGGCTCCAGAAACTGCTAGTGACGTTGTCTTCAAGTTAAATCTCAGGAGGAAAAGAAAATATGAGGACAACAAAGAGAGGAAGTGGCCTGGGCCGGCCTACCCGGTGGGTCTTGTCCTGCCCCCAACCACCCTGGCTGGCCCCCACAGGCGCTGCCAACCACACAAGCCAGTTCCTGTCCCTGAGGACTTGGCTCAGGGGACTCTGGGAATGTGGTAGACACAGCGGGTGGCCCCACCAAACGCATCCTTATGGGAACCTGCTCCCTGGGAGCCATGAAAAGAGCGTGGACTTTGAGGTAGGGCCACAGGAAGTGGTCAGGTCCATCTCGGGGGACCTGCTGCCCAGCCACACTGCTGGCCGGGAAATGGGGGGCACTTCATGCCTCCTCAGCACCTTCAGCTCAGAGAAGGGAAGGGACTATTCTGGGGTCACACAGCATGCAGCCAGAGGCCAGGACATGGGGAAGTCCTTCATTTCCCCACCCCCACCCACCTCAGATCCTCCAACCAGGGTCTAGCGGCATCCAGGATGCTGGTGGGTAGCTGCACAGCCCAGGCTGCGGGAGGTTGGCCACTCTCACCTGACAGGCCTATGTGGAGCCCTGACCCCTAACTGGGATGCTGGGGGACATTGACCAAGGTGCCTCCCCTCTCTGTGCCTGTCTGTCCAGTTGTAGCCTAGACACAGCGCCCCCGGGGCCAAGAGCACCCAGCTAGAGGTGCCCCCATGGATAGGCAGGGCAGCAAATGAATGAGGGACAGGGATGGGTTGGGAGGTGGCCAGTCCCCTCCAGCCCCTGGAGGGCACGGGGCAGGGGAGCTGGGCTGAGCCAGCAGGAGCCCAGGGAGCCCGGTCTCTGCCTTCCTATCCTGGAGGAAGGTGAGGCCGAGCCTCCTTCCCTCCCTCCTTCCCTCCCTGCCCCCACTGCACGCGGGGCTGGCTGGGCTCCAGCTGGCCTCCGCATCAATATTTCATCGGCGTCAATAGGAGGCAGCGGGGACAGCCGCTGCGGCAGCACTCGAGCCAGCTCCAGCCCGCAGCTCGCAGGGAGATCCAGCTCCGTCCTGCCCGCAGCAGCCCAACCCTGCACACCCACCATGGATGTCTTCAAGAAGGGCTTCTCCATCGCCAAGGAGGGCGTGGTGGGTGCGGTGGAGAAGACCAAGCAGGGGGTGACGGAAGCAGCTGAGAAGACCAAGGAGGGGGTCATGTATGTGGGTAAGTGGGGCATGGCAGGGTGGGACAGTGTAGTGGCCAGAGGATGAGGTGCCCAGTTACCTTCGCCAGACCTTACTCCCCAGCCCCAGGGAGGCATTTTGGGAGGGGGTGAGGCCCTGGCTATTAAGGTGGGGTCTCCAGACCCTGGAGCACCCACGATGCCCTGTGCACACCTATGTGTGTTTGTCTCTGGCCTTCTCGGGGCCTCTGGGTGTCAGAGACCGCAGACAGGGCTGGCTACCTGTCTGTGCATGCACAAAGACATGCCCAAGCACACCAGCCTCCCCTGAGCCTGGAGCCCCTGAAGCTATAAGCAGCCTGTGCTCAGGTGGCCCCCACCCTCTCCACACGGGAGCGGCTGCAGCCAGGCCACGGATCCCCACCCTCCCCAGAGAGAAGGGGTGGGCTGGGGGATGAGACCTAGGCTCAGTGTTCCCTCCCCCGCATCCTCTCCTGGCGCTCTCCGGAGGAGGAAGGGGAGGTCAAACCAATGACTCAGCTCCGGCCGGTCCTGTTGCTGCTTCTGAGGCCCGGCCACACCCAGGCAGGGGCTGGACCCTGGGTCTAGTCAGTGTCCCTACCTCAGGCTTGCTCTCTCTTGTCCCCCACCTTCTGTCCTGTCCCCTTGCCATCCATCCACTTCTTCCAGACACAGCAGGAAGAGGCCCTCTGAAGGGGCCACCAGCCCACAGACACCATCCTCACTCCCGCCCCACCCCGGCCCCCACCGCCCACCCTGCAGCTTGTCCAGCTGTTCTGTTGTGTTTGTCCTGACCGCCCACAACACCTGGAGTGGGGTCTGGGCTGACGGCTCCATTTCCTCCCCAGGAACCAAGACCAAGGAGAATGTTGTACACAGCGTGACCTCAGGTGAGGAGCCTCAGGGCCAGGGGACACGTGGGGGCTGGGACCCCTTGGGCTCCTGCATCCTAGTGCTTGGGCTCAAACCTAGAGTCCTGCCTTACCCCCAGCTGGGGTCCCAAGCCCTGCAGACCCTTGCAGATCATGAGGCTAAACTAGGGTGGGTGTCTCCTTACCCCCACCAGCATCAGAGGTGCCCTGGAGTCTGAGGGAGCAGGGGAGGGTCCCAGCAGAGCCAGGGCTCTGAGCTCCTAGTAAGGGGCTGCGAGCCTGACTCTAGCAGGCCTGCCTGGGGGCTGGGGCGGAGGCCAGTCAGTGTCCTCCCACAGTGGCCGAGAAGACCAAGGAGCAGGCCAACGCCGTGAGCGAGGCTGTGGTGAGCAGCGTCAACACTGTGGCCGCCAAGACCGTGGAGGAGGCGGAGAACATCGCGGTCACCTCCGGGGTGGTGCGCAAGGTGAGCCCCAACCCTCAGACCCTCTCAGTCCTCTCCTGGGCCCAGAGAGGCTGCTGGGTAGAGGCGGCATCACTCCACTCCACACCCCAGGAAACATGACGGGGGGCTGGGGCTGGCTTCAGTTTCAGCACCGAGCACGGTGGGGTCCGTGCTTGCTGTTCGACCTGCATTCGGGTCTGGAATCCCCACAACCACCCCATCGAGGAGACTTGGGGGCCCATCTCATAGACAAGGAAAGTGAGGCTCAAAACCACTCTTTCTGGACGGCTGTCAGCATTTAGGAGACACCACATTTTATAAGTGAAAACAGGGTCCCACATGGTAACAGACAGCCTCCCGGGCAGTGGTCACCAGGCCGGGGGCTGGGTCACACTCGCCCCGCCCCTAGGGCCCAGCCTCCCTCTCTGCGCTGGGCGGGGCAGCTGCCTCCTGCTGGGAGCCTCAGGGAAGCAGCGTCCCCTGGTGGTGGGAAAGCAGTGCTGGTTCTGACCCTACCCTGTGCAGCTGCCTTTGTGTATGTGTGTGTGCACGAGTGCTGAGTGAGCATGTGGGTGCATTTGTGTGCGAATGTGTGGGTGTACATGTGTGTGAATGTACACATGTGTGTGCGGCCCAATAGCAGACAGCACAGGAGCAGTGGGGCGCTCCCCAGGGATGGGTGTCTGCTGGGTGAGTTGTCCCAGCACCTGAGACACAGCAAGCTCTGCTTTATGCATTGTACGCTTATTAGTTCATTTAATAGACACAAAATCCCATGAGACGGTGTGGAAACTAAGGCCCAGAGAGATTAATGTGCCCAAGGTCCCATGGCTACTTCATGTGAGCTTGGAATTCCCCTGAGCAGCCTGTACTCTGAGAGACCCTGTGGCAGTGCAGGTGCTGGCCTGGGCTAGGATTCCAGCCTGGGGGTGGGGTGGGGGAGCAGTGTCCAGCTCTCCTACCTGCTGCAGACCTCCTAGGTGGCGGAGTCTGAGGCTCCCAGCACGGAGAACCCCTGCGTTGGGAGTGGGTGGGTGGAAGGGTGGGGGCTGCCCTACTCCTCTTGGCTTTGGGGCAATGCCCAGGTGTCTGCTTCCAGGGCCAGCACAGGGTCTCCATGTCCTTGGAGCTGGCAGCTGCTCCCTCTCCTAGTTTCCCTTCCTCGTTGTATGACCTTGAGAAGTGAAGGAAGCTCTTTGGGCCTCCGTGTCCTCATCTGCAAGATGGAGGTGAGAGTGTCAGTCTCCCTGGGGATGTGATGAGGCAGGGAGTGTGATGAGGCAGGGCCATGACCTCCATGAAGTGATTCTCCTGGTCTATGTGAGCACCCAGCAGAGGAAGGTGACCATCATCATCATCATCATCATGTGTCCTGGGCAGAATACATAGAGCCCCAGGAGGCCCCTCCCTCCTCACCCCCAGCAAAAGAGACGCTGGGGTGAGGGTGCCCGGGCGTTCCTAGTGAATCCTGGAGCAGGGCTAGTGAGCCCTTGGAGCCACCTCAAGGGAGACTCATTTCCTGGTGACACCCAAAAACCAATCACGACTCATCTCCCAGTGAACTGTGAAAAGCCTCAGCAGGGACTATCTAGCCGCTCATGCCCTTGGCCTCATGATCAGCCTTAGGGTGGCAGGACTCAGCAGGTGGCCACCTGCCCTGCCCCTGGAGAGCCTGGCCGACTCCAGCCAGCACAGCACTGCCCTTCTATGCCCCACTCCGTCAAGGGGCATAAAGGATGGCCCTGGGGCAACACAGAGGTGACAGGATACCCCCCACCAGAGGCAGGTGCTGAGGCCAGAGTGCAGGCCAATCACCAGTGTGGTCCTACATACCCAGCTGTCATGATCTCTCACACAAGTGTCTGGCTGGCATGGAGTGCAGGAGATAGAAGAAGATGGGAAGTCGGAGAGGAGTGTGTAACCTCTGCTGGCCCTGACCAGCCTGAGCCCAGAGCCTGTCCAGTAGGCAAGGAGAGGGACTCATGCTCCTGGCGACTGAAGTGGACCTGGAGCAAGCCTGATCTGATGCCAACACACCCCACCACTTTTGAGCTCCAAGGCCCTGAGCTGCATGCCAAGCCTTCCTGGCCTCAGAGTCCCTATGTGAACCCCAATCGGCCTTCCTTGTAGGGCTACTGAGGGTGGCGTCAGACCTGGGGCTTCAGGGGCCTCTGCCTACTCTCACCCCCACTCCACCCCACCCCACCCAGGTTCCTCATCAATGAAGCCCAGCTAGGGGCTTCCCAGAGACTGGGGACCAGCTTGAGGGGTGAAGCTGGGCTCCAGGGTACTTGGTGCCCCGGAAGGCCTCGGCATCATCAGACAGAGCCCCAGATATTGTTTGAACTGCACACCCCCAACACCTCCAGCCCCTCCAAGTACAATAAGGCCATGAGGGGCCTCTGCTCCTCCTTGAGGCCGGGGTAGACAAGGCCCTGGTTGCAGGGCAGCTAGGGGTGTCTGCATTCTCTGCATGGTCTCATGCCCCATTTTGTCCCCACAGGAGGACTTGAAGCCATCTGCCCCCCAACAGGAGGGTGAGGCAGCCAAAGAGAAAGAGGAAGTGGCAGAGGAGGTAGGAGCTGGGCTTCTGGGGTGTACCATGGGGGGGTTCCTGGGTGGAGACCCCATCCCCCACAGACTCACTGCTTCCCTCCTGGGCTCCCAGGGCCCACCAGACCTTCCGCAGCCCCCACAGGGATTGTGGGCAGGGCTAACCCTGAACCTGAGTGGGAGGTCCCCCCATGGATGACCCCTCAGGCATGAGGCACAGGGGACAACCTTTCCCAGCCGACTCAGGGTGGCCCATTAGGGCTGGGGCCCGGAGCTGGGTGTGCAGGTCATTCTCTCTCCCAGGCCCAGAGTGGGGGAGACTAGAGGGCTACAGGCCAGCGCCGACGCCCTGAGGAATGCTCCTCTGCCTTGGACACCATCCCTTCCTAGCACAAGGAGTGCCCGCCTTGAGTGACCTGCGGCTGCCCACGCTCCTGCCCTTGTCCCTGGCCACCCTTGGCCTGTCCACCTGTGCTGCTGCACCGACCTCACTGCCCTCCCTTGGCCCCGCCCGCCCTCTGGTCCTTCTGACCCCACATATGCTGCTGTGAGTTTTTTTTTTAATGATTCCAAATAAAACTTGAGCCCACTCCTGCCATGCTTCCTCTGGGTGCTGTGTAGCTTGAGGAAGGGTCCCCAGGTCCGCCCAGGAACAGGAGCGGGTTCAGCCTGTTGATAGGACCAAGTATCCTACAGGGACACACACACGGCATTCATGGGACCTGTGAGAGCAGGCGCTACCTTCAGCAACACCCCCAACCCACCCATTGCCTTTAACATGGAGGAGGCAGCACTGCCTTCGGCTCCCCAAGACATTCGACAGGACTCACAATCCCATCCACAGGACAGCTTAGCTCAGCCTCAGGGTAGCCCCCGCCTGCCTGCTCTGCATCCCTGAGGAACCCACTATCAGCAGGAGGCGAAGACAGGCTCCTGGGCCTTCCCTCCATGTGCGGCCTGGGCTCCAGGGTCGCATGAGGAACAGGGCCACCTAACATCCTCCCTGGGGCAGACGATAACTTTCAAAGATGGAGAAGTCTAAACCCAGTGAGGATCCCAGGAGAGACAGGAGGTGACCCTGTGGCGCCTCCCACCTGGCCCCACTGGACCTGGAGCTGGGTACCCCTTGCACCCCTGCTACACCCAGAAGCCTGCCACGTGCCACTAAAAACACAACAGCGGAGATGCACGAGGCTGCACCTTGAAAGAAAAGTGGTGAAAAGCAACAGCGGCTGAGTTCCTCGCAGGCGTTGCCTGGGCACTGTTGTGAGCACTTCACCTTATTTAATCCTCAGAACAAACCTCTCAGGTTGGAGCTGTAGATCCAGGTTTTGCTGAGAAGCACAGGTCCGGGCAGAAGCCCAGGTGGCTCCCCAGCCCTGCTATGGCTGCATGGGCCCCAAGGTGCTTACGGTGGATTCCCCCAATCCAAGGTTTCAAAACAACCAGGGCCTGCTGGCCAGTGGCCTACACGAAGGGCTGTTTGCCCAGCCCACTCTAAGCAAGCCCTTCATATAAGCCACTGGCCAGCAGGCCCTGCATTGTTTTGAAACCTTGCATGCCAGGCAGGCTTGTTCAGACCAGAGTTCCCTCGACATCCCGCCTTCCCCTTTGATACTCAGATGCATTTCATCTGAGTTTGGGCTCAGAGCATTTCAGTGGCTTGCCCCAGGCCTTCAGGCCTGGGTGTTGGGGCGAGAACTTGAGTCTGTCCACATGTGACTTCAGACACTGCCCTGTCCACACCACCTCCCCATCCAGCCTCTGCAGTGGATTCAAGGGCAGCCCAGGAGGCTGGGAGCCCAGTCAGACCCAGCTGAGCCAGGCTGTATCTACTGTCTGGCCATGGGCATCCACTGAGGAGGCGGAATGGAGCAGGGGGCTGCTGGTCTCCACACCCCCAAACCCTGCCACGGGCAGGCATGGAGGGTCTGGAAGCAGCTCAGGGCAGTCAGGGCTGTTCCTGCTCCCCAGTCCAGACATGTGCACATAAGCAGGCATGTATGAACCCCAGGAGGAGGCCACCTGGGGCCTGGGTGTGCCCGAGAGTCCTCTGGGCTGTGAAGAAAGCAAGGAGAAGCAAGGCTGGTCAGCTGATAGGGGTGAGGGAGAGGGCACCTATGCCAGGCTCCCAGCGACAGCCTTCCCCAGGCTCCAGCGCCCTCTGCCTCTGCTGGAGGAGCCCAGAGGGGTCCCTGCTGCCCCTACCACAGCACCCCCACGACCCCCTCTCACATACACTCAGGGCTTGTTCCTGGACTCAAATGACCAACATCACCAGGAAGCCCCTTCCCAGCCATGGGCACTGGCAGTGCTCTTTGCCTTTGAACCCTCATGTGCTCTGCACCCTGTGAGGCTGCTTTTGACCTCCCTGCGGGAGCACAGTCAACTCCCCTTATCCACTAGGATACACCCAAGATGTTTCCAGCTGCCTGCAACCCCAGATAGTACCAAGGTAGCCTACATATAATGTGTCTTCCTACACATACACATGTGCTTCGCTATGATGAAGTTTATACATTAGGCACAGTAAGAGACTAACAATAACCGATAAGAAAATGGAACAATTATAACAATATACTGTAATAAAAGTTATTTAAAACATGAATTGTTTATTTCTAGAATTTTCTTTTTATTTCTTTTTTTTTTGAGACGGAGTCTCACTCTGTCATCCAGGCTGGAATAGTGGCGTGATCTCTGCTCACTGCAACCTCCGCCTCCCGGGTTCAAGTGATTCTCCTGCCTCAGCCTCCCAAGTAGCTGGGACTACAGGTGTGCACCACCACGCCTGGCTAATTTTGGTATTTTTAGTAGACAGGGTTTCACCATGTTGGCTAGGCTGGTCTCAAACTCCTGACCTCAAGCTATCCATCCGCCTCAGTTTCCCAAAGTGCTGGGATTACAGGCGTGAGCCATCACGACCAGCTATTTCTGGAATTTTCCATTTGACATTTTGGACCTTACCAATTGCGATGCAGGGGCCAAGGGAAAACTTTCCCTTATCTGAAGGGTCACTGAAAAGTCAGCTCATAAAAGCAGATTAGAAATGGAATACACATTCACTAGCATGCATGGGGGAAATCAGAGTGACTGCCCCACCACGAAATGGGGTACAGATGCAATGGGGAAGTGCGGGTGATTTCAGGGGGCCAGTAAATGATTTTCAGGGGAATTCAGTGGGTTTGAAGAACACACGGTGGCCTGGAACAAAGTCTGTTGGGCTCACACAGCAGACAACGGTTTGCAAAACCTGTCCAGGTGTGTGAGCAGGCTTCAGTCTTTCTCCCTGTGACATGAATTCAGTCAGAGAAAACTCTGGGAAGGGACCAGGGGTCATCGTTTTCTTCTTTGGTGGGTCCAGACTTTAGGCAGATGAGGGACTTCACGGAACAACTTCACCGTACGATTTGGAAGAGACAAAGGGTTGAGGGGCCTGGGGGAGCCTGGTCGGAGAGACCTTAAGGCTTCTTCAGTTCAGAATGTCACAGCACTATATATTGGGGTATTGGTTTCTGAGCCCCAACAATGGGTAACTGAAACTGCAGAAAGTGAAATCACAAATTAGCTGGGCATGGTGGTGCACACCTATAATCCCAGCTACTCAGGAGGCTGAGGCAGAACCGCTTGAACTTGGAAGGCAGAGGTTGCAGTGAGTTGAGATCCTGCCATTGCACTCCAGCCTGGGCGACAAGAGCAAAACTCTGTCTCCAAAAAGAAAAAACGGAAAAAAAAAATGACACCACAGCAAATGGGGGTGGGGGGGGCAATGGTAATTTGGTAATGTGCTTCCTTCTGCCTGCCCTTGTCTGAGAAGCCCCGGTGCCCTGGACCCTCTTACAAAGTCCACTGCTGCCGAGTGCTGGGCACCCTTCAGCCCATTTAATCTTCACAAACACACTTTGGGGAGATGCTGTGATGTAATGGGGACGCTGAGGCTCAGAGAGGTGAGGGGCTTGCTCTAAGAGTATATGAACCCAGGAGGTTTGACTGCAGTGCCTGCCACTAAGGCCACACGGAGCTATCACTACCATCATCTGCTGGGGACTGGCTGTCTCTCCCCACAGAGCCTGCTCCCTTCCTGTCCAGCTCACAGCTCATTGCCCATGGGACCCAGAACCCAGTGGCACCAGCAGCCTGTGATAAACTGGAGTGCTCAAAGGCGTGCCTGGCTATTGGACACTACTGGTGGGATTCAGGAGGGCTGGCAGGGCTGCGGCTGGCCAGGCAGGGCAGGGCTGAGCTGGGCTCCCCAGAGTGCCCCAGGCATCGATCTGGCCACTCCCAGGGCAAGGCCAGGCTCTGGTCGAGGAGGGGCGGGGGCTGGGAGGACTCTTGTTGCCACTTTGTTTTGCCTGAGACCCGCTCCCTCCCCTTTCCTCCACCTAATCTCATGGCTTGCCTCTTCCCTTTGCCCAGGATTGACTTTATCTCCATCAATCCATACCCAGCGTGTGTGTGTGTGTGTGTGTGTGTACAGGTGCACATCCAGACACCTCCCTCTAGGGGCTGACCCTGCACCACTAGAAGCAGGGTATGTGCCAGCAGACCGGGCCTGGGTGGCAGGGGCTTTCCAGCGCTCCAGAATAGGGGAGACGCCACCAGAGGTGCAAGAAACAGCCCCAGACAGGAAGCGTTAGAGAGACCCAGAGAGGCAGGGTGGGTGAGCACTGGTCTCCAGGTCCTGAAGACCGACTCTGGAATGGGAGTACACCCAGCTTGGTGGGGCCTGACCTGCGCCCCCTTGTATGCCAGGGGAATGTATCTCACAGGCTATTTTGCTGCCCCCAGGGATGACCTTCTCCACTCTGGCCCAGATCCCTAAGTCCCCTCCTAACAGTCACAAGTTGTACCCTAGAGCCTTGCCTGCCCCATCTCAGGAAAGGTGACCTGAAAGGCCCAAGCTTATTCCTGCCCTCCCTGAGCCATGCTTTCTGCCCAGCTTCCTCAGGCTTCAGTGACTGATGGCAGTCTCCTTGCCTGGGCTGCACAGGCACACTGCCCTCTCCCCCTTGGGGTTGCATGGTCTGCAGGTGCACACTCCTATGTCTCGCCCTCTCAGGGGAAGGATTTACCAGGCCCTCTCCGTCTGCATCCACTGGATTTCAGTGGCTACAGGCAGAGAGCCAGTCAGCAGTGCCCCTGCAGGTGTTTGGGGCTGGGGGCTCTGATGTTGCCAGAGCCCTAGGGTTGACAGGCACCTAGGCAGATTCGAGGATCCAAGTCCCTGCCACGTGAGTTTGGGTGAGGCTGACCTCGCTGCCTCAGTTTCCTCCTATACACTGATGCTATTAATAAAAATACCCATTTCAGGAGGTGGTTGTAAAGATTATACAAGAGACTGCAGAGTGTTAGGCAGCGCCTGGCACAAGACAAATGCTCAGTAAAAGACCGCTGCTGTCATTAATGTCAACACCAGCCCTGAGCTCCTGCCCTGGAGCTGACCCAGTGCTCACGCCCAAGATAAGAAAGGGAGGGCTGGGGCTGATGAGCTGGGAGGAGCTGTGCGCCCTTCTCCTGCCCCCAGCTCCTCTCTGGACCCCTGTCCTAACCCCTCTTCGGTCCCTGGTTCCCTCTGCCCCTTTCCCACGGCGGCCCG